TTCCAATGTCAGTATGTACGCAGCCAACTCTCAGTAACCATTTTCTCTTCTTTCTTGAAATACAACGCTAAAAGGTTCAAGAAACGCACAGTTCTTCTTTTTGGCATTTGTGAAGGTGGTGTATTTTTTTTTAGATCCATTGAACCGCATTTACCCAGCATGCACTCTGGATCCTTATACACCATTCCACATGTTACAACCCAGACCCTAGGACACAAAATAAAAGAAGAGGAACAATAAATGGCTGAAAGTTTAGGATTGGGCTTTTATCTATAATGTGTATTTGTCGTCAGTGCAGAAAAAACTAATTGGAAACATTTAATTATATCTAAATAATGTAAATACAACCCTGTGTCATTTTCAAACAAAGACTAAACTGAACTAAATGTTGGTTTTACAATATTATCTCTTTATCGATTAAGTGTCTGAGACTGAAAACTGCAAATGTTTAGCTTCATTAGGAAACATAAACATAACACAAAACTTTCTACCGTCTGGCGGGCTGTGACCTTAATGCTATTGATCAATCTGTTATTTTTGTTCTAGGAAAGAATGTGCTCAGAAAACCCCATAAGACTAAGATAAAATGACTGTAGAGATTAGATGAACCCCAGCACAAGAGCACGTCACAGTTACATACATGTACTGATAATACACAGAGAAAGCACAAGAACATTTGAAATTGCTCATCACAGTCCGCTCTTGTCAAGCCGCTCCACTTCCCCGAACACTTGGAGTCTAGATTGAAAAGTCTTTAAGATGTGATGGTTCAACTATGGATCGACTGATGACGGCTGCAAGAAAAAGCTTAAAAAAAGGTTAAAATGTCACATAAAGTGAGCTCGCATTTCCAGTAAAAATGCATACAGTTGAAATCAGAAACTTGGAGGATCATTCAAAAGTGAATTTATTTCTTGCTTACAATGTAAAACCATTAAATTATTTGACATAGACTCGTAGAAGTGAATTGACAAATGCCAAGTCTTGGTTTGTCATCATTTCATTCTAAATGTCTGCTATGTTTTTTTTCTGGGGTTTAAGCTTTTAGCCATTTATTAACAATTAACCTGAATTTAAACATAGCCAGAGTAGAAGCCTCACATTTCAACAAAGACTGCTCCAGATTTTACCTGCATACATCTGACATGCTGCCTCCCCCTGGTCCTGACTCTAGCATCAGCAGGAGGCCAGTCCCTGTGCTCCTCAGAGTCCCAGCAGGAGGCCAGTCCCTGTGCTCCTCAGAGTCCCAGCAGGAGGCCAGTCCCTGTGCTCCTCAGAGTCCCAGCAGGAGGCCAGTCCCTGTGCTCCTTTTTTGAATTGTATTATAATGATGGGATACTGTGTGTGTTTCAGTTTAATCCGCAGCAGGTGGTTTGTTAACACAAGTAAAAACCTAAATCCATCTGATGATCTTGATGTCGTCTGTAAATGCTCTAGTTTAAAGTCACTCTCAACTGTAATGAAACACGTGTGAGAAGAGAACGGCTGGATGATTATCTGCTCGTCTTGTTGGACGTTCCGAGGTCTGATGGGAACATTGGCACCTTGTTGATAATACTAATGTGTACATCGCCCTCTGCTGAGTCGTGACGCACAACCGGGAATTTAAACAGCTCTGACCATGATTACAATGTTTTTGAGTCTCCCAATGGGACTCACAAAAATCCTCGTATTTTGTCCCGGAAACAGAAAAATATGATTATTTTTTTAGATTAAAATAAAAGTTTAGAATCACTATCAAGCTTGGTTTAGGCTTCCACATTTGGTTAGAGGTGATACATGCAATCTGATACATCTTTTATACAAAATTATATATTTTAGCATATGACCCTAGATCATCCTCAATATGAAAAAGATAAACTTACAACAAAAATAAAATACATACATTTATTAATGAACAGTATTACCGTCATCATTGATATTTGCTGGAGGAGAATAGTTAGACCAAAGGGGAGTGGCCTCAGTTGTCTTATCATTGCGTCCAATCAGGAACCTGTGGGGGCGGGTCTAACTGGGACTAACTGGAAATTTTACGCCATCCAATTAAGTCAAATAACTGACTATTATTCTTTCCAAATGACACAAACACTTTCTAAATATCTAAAACATTAACAAATAATTAAAGCTGAGGTACCCAACTTTCAGAACACAAACATTGGAATGATGTAATACAATGCATCAAACTTGTTTCTTTACCTCAAAATAATGTCTAGTTTGTGTATTTTTAGGAGTTTTTAGATCAACTTTATTGGACAGAAAAGTGAAAAACAGTTACCTCCCTCACAGCCAATCAGCTCTCAGCCTGAGGTGTCAAATAGTGAACAATGCAGAAGTTGGCTCCAGCACATAGAAGTCTGGTTTGTTCACAGCCTGTAACTTGCACAAGACTCTTTCTATTGGTACAAAAATATGTGTTATTAATGAGAAAAGCTAAGTTAAGTGCCTCATCTTTAAGCACCACAGAGACACAGCGTTTGGTTTGTTAATATTTTGGTAAAGTCTGAAAAAGGCGTGCATGTTTTTCACCATTAGACAGTCTCTCATTTCTGCCATCTGTTTACAAGGGGGGCAATACTCAGCGTTTTATCTCGTTTCAAAGCGTTCTCACAGACACAGACCCTGTACATTTCTGTATCAGACTGTACTGCCAAATGCAGACCCCCCGCTGAGCGCAGCCATGGGTTTTGCACAATAGATATTTCCTGCAACGCTTTATCTGGGTGTTTTGGCCTCAAGTGGAAGTGCAAATGTCTCCCATGAATATGCTACACTTCAAAACCATCTTACATATTGAGGATCTTTGGTTTCTCAAACAGCCAAGTGAGATTTGTTGTATTCTCTGGATGACAATATAAAGAGTGAGAGAGATTTACTTAAACCAGAAAAATGTGAAACTCATTTAGGTCACGGGCCACGTTTAAAAACATAGGAGCTGGTTGGGGCCAATATATTATTAATAATGATATAGCATTTTTTTAGACACTCAAAAAAAACGTAGCTGTAGCCGCATCTACCCTGGGGCACACTGACAGAAGCGAGGCAACCAGTCTGTGCCATTGGCCCCTCCCACCACCACCAACCATTCACACACACACCAGACTCATACTAATGTGGGTGAAGTGTCTTGCCTTAGGACACAACAGTAGTTTAGCACTTTACAGCCGCAGCCGTCCCACTGTTGCATGGTGTTCCCAGAGGTCTCCCATCACAGCACTAACCAAGCCCTGTCCTGCAGTTTCAGCGGTCTGACTGGATCTGGTTTTCACATGCAGGTGTGGCTACAAATTTGGATATTATGGGTTTGGCCTGATTCAAAAACATTTTAGTGGTGGGGAAACCGGAGCACCTGGAGGAAACCTACGCAGAAAAGGGGAGAACATGCAAACTCCACTCAGAAAAGTCCTGTTCCAACCGGGATTCAAACCCTGGACCTTCTTGCTGAGAAGTGACAGTGCTATCCTCTCAGCCACCGAGTCCAAGTTTCTAATGTTTAACTTGTTTTGAGCCATAAATATCTGTCCATGAATAAGTGCAAAATACATCAGTGACGATCTGTTTGAAAGAGAAGGAAGTGTAACGCCTTCTGGACCATGAAGCAGTTCATTTGTCTGAAGACGCCCATGGTGCCTATAGTGACCATGCACTGAGCAGAGGTTTGATTGCAGAGGAAAGGCGACGTGAAGGGCACCCACAAAGAGGTCCTTTGGGGGGCTTCACTCATGTGTCACTGGCTCCAGGAGGGAGGGGCCGGACCACAGCCACTCTGCAGTGCACTGCTGCAGCCCTCACCGTTTTACTGTAAAAATAGAACATTTCTCCAAACAAGAAGTCTCAAAAATCTTCATGATGCAACTATAGAGGTGGAAAACATTAGAATTATGTGGGACCAAGTCGGACAACACCCGTCATGGATGAAACAAGGTAGGAAACAAAAGCAGAACTGAAAAAATAATTGAATCTCATAAATGTCAATTGAAAATATATCTAAATGTAAAGACGGAACCCAGGACAAGACAAAACACAACAATGGGTCTAAATACACACAGAGACACAGGGTCTAAATACACACAGACACACAGGGTCTAAATACACACAGGGTCTAAATACACACAGATACACACAGGGTCTAAATACACACAGACACACAGGGTCTAAATACACACATATACACACAGGGTCTAAATACAGAGCATGAATATATAAAATAAAAGCGGGTAAAAATGAAACAAGTGACAACATTTTCTTATAAAACATGTTTATCTTTTACATTTGTAGCAGTTGAGGGGAATAACCTCATTACTGTCATCTTCCATACTTTTTTTCGTTCACAAAACATTGAACTTTGAGCACAGTGTGAAAACGTTTATCTCAGTTGATTTACAGTCTAGGATCAGCTCACTGTGAAAAAGTGCAGATGTGATGGAAGACAAGGCCAGGAGAGGATCAGCTTCCAACTTTAAAATGACACTGAATTAAATTACAGTTTAGCAAACATACTGAAAACTGCTTTCACGTGGCTTCAGAATAACACACACACACACACGCACACACAGACACACACAGACACACACAGACACACACACACATGGACCAATGAGCGATTCAGCAAATACACGTTGGAGCAAGCCCCAGCGTTTCATTGATAGAAGCATATCATATATATTCAATTCAATTACATCAACTTTATTTAATGGCCCTAAATCACAACAACATTGTCGTCTCTGAGGACTTTACAAAGTTGTCAATTCGCCAACAAAATATCAGAGAATCAAACAGTTCGATGACAGGAAATCTAATAATAACAAAACACGTATAAGCCATTGGCCTGAAGGAAGTGGGATGACCAATGTCCACACGTTTATCCGTAAAGCGATTTGGGTAATCTTGGTCAGTCACAATTATCTATATAATAAAAGAGTACTTACTTATTTGCATACATTTTTATACATGTCATAAATGCCCCACATATTGCCCTCTGGCCCCTCACACGCAGGGGCGGGTCACTGTGCCATGCGTCTGTGGAGTCTTGAAGATTCTCTGATGTTTTCATAATAAACCTCTTCCTGTAAACACAATAAAAGCAGTAAAAACACTCCCTGTGTCTCATTATTTTATATATTTAGAACATTGTAAATCTCAATATTGATGTGAAACAATGTGATAAAAGACTTAAGCCTCGTCGTAACGCTCTGTGCTCTGCCCCTTTAGGCGGTGTCGCTGTAAGAGTAGATACATTTAATTCACCTTTCAATTGAAAAACAGCTGATCTTTGCTCTTACATTGGGGGAAAATTGTGAACTTCTCAATTATGAAATGTTATCTGTTTGCTTTTAGGAAAATTTAAAGGCAAAAGGGTGTGCCACAAGGATCCTTTTTGGGGCCCCTGCTTTTTTCTATCTTGATCACAGTAACTAGCCTGGCTCTGCCAGACCCTTGTAGTTCCGCCATGCTCCACCAGAGGCGTTTGGCTGAACCACATTAGAGCCCTGCACGGGCCTATTATCTGGGCCCGAGCCCGGCCCTGGCCCGAGGGGGTGGCGCCCCAGCCCGGCCCGGCCCGATATGGTTTCTCAATTTTCAGGCCCGAAACCCGCATCAAGCCCGCCTTTTTTTTTTTTTTTGTAACCTCCCATAACAATGTTTTAGCGTAGTATATAGTGCCGCGCACTGATATGAACGCAGACTTAGCTAGAGGGCGGAGTTATACATGGTAGTGATGTGTTGCAATGAGTTCTGTGTGTGCGGAGTGGTGCAGAGTGAACATCTGTATGATACACAGCTGTATGATGCCCCGATGCTGCAACACACCTGTAAGTAATGCTATGTGCCGTCAATGACAACACTACACAGAACAACAAACACTACAGCGTGATAGAACGCTATATTCAGTGGGTGCGTTCGTAAATCTATTCTGCCGCTCTGAAAATGAAGAGCCCGAGCCCGGTCCGTGTCCGAGGTCATTATGCGGTCATCGGCCCGAAGCCCGGCCCTCGGGCTGTCGGGCCGTCGGGGCCCTCGGGCCAAGGGCTCAAGTGCAGGGCTCTAAACCACATGGGTCTGGTATCGACGCCATAGCGAACGCCTTCCCCAGATTATTTTTTAATCGACCAATCAGGATTGCCGGTGTTACGTGGGGTTTGCACTGCCTTCTCAAGCTTCTCTCCTGTAGCAGCTAGAAGAATCCAAGATGGCGGACGTAAAGTCCGAGAATCTTTTTAAAAGAGTAAATACGATCGAATTAAGACACGGAGGTCACTTTTAATGCAATTTGAGGCGAGATGTAGATGGTTCTATGTTGATATATGTGTGTTTTAAGAGTCAAATGTTCCTGTAAAGTTTGGTTGAAGCACTGGTTCAATGTTCCTGTTTACACACTATGCAGCAGGGTTGCCAGGTTTGGTGGTTCCCGCATATTTTTTTCCAAGAGACTTGTAGGTATTAAATAAACAGAAAGACAATGAACAGAATCATGATAGCCCAAGTTGATTACATTACGTTTTTAGCCAAAAAATCATTCTGAGCGTTATTTTTTTGGATATTCTCGCGGATTTTGGGTTGGAAAATCTTGCTGGGATTTGGCAACCTATGGGAGCCGTGTGCTTCGATGTGAGTGGTTGAAAGCAGACTTCATTCAAGCTAACGGACAAATGGTCTATCCAATCACATACAAGGATTTTTTTTACAAGGCCCTGCCTTCTGAAATCCAACCACTATGGCTCAGTACCAGACTCATGTGTGAAGTGCAGCGAACTACATGGGTCTGGCAAGAGTCAGGCTACACAGTAACCCCATCGGTTGCAATATAAAATAAAGCCAAAATCATGTCGCTGCAGAATAGAAATTACATTTTGATTTGATTTTAATGATAAATTCCTTTAACAATTATTACTGAATGCAAAAAACACAAAATGTAAATGATCAAAACATATGCTCTTCTCAAACAAAAAAGGTTATTATGCAAGATTTGAATCTTTGACAGTGTCTCCTCTAAGTATCTGGGGCTGAGATCTGTAATAGTTTAAGTCAAAGTCATCTTCCTTTTACAGAGATAAATTGTTTATTCCTTTGATTTACAGAAAAAAATATATAAAAGCGGCTTTTCTTTCTGTTTTAGATGATGAGGAAAATACTGTATTTCTATGCAAGCTTCATCCTCTGCTCTAAAGTCCTTTTTCATACTGCCCTGGCTAAAGTGGACGTTTACCTTTTAACAATTTATTTTTTAAATATTACAAACAAAATAACATGTAATTAGCAGTTTTATGTTTCTGATAAAGAGTCTGGAACTTGCAAACTTATACTTCCCTGTATAAATACAGATATATAATAAAAACACAAAAGGCCCCGCAGGCTACCGCTCATCAAATTAGCAATCAAAGAGTATTTCCAAGGAGGAGCAATGTGTTTCTATGTAAAATAATATGAATGACATGAATCGCTCTAAAACAGCTGTGAGTGTGAATGAGATGGAAAAACATAGGAAGAAAACTGAGAACAGAACACGGACCAAAGCAGAGTTCAGTCCCAGCACTTTGCACGTTTAATTCACATCGGTCTCATACTCACGTTGTTCTGGCCCCTCAGAAATCTGCACCCTGAAAAATTATTACAAAGTTACCATTGGTAGTTTGAAATCTAATTTTCTATCTTATCACCTCAAAGACTCACTTTCTGATGCTAAACCTCTGTCTCTGTCTGCTCAGGGTTAGGGTTAGCAAAACACTCTCTGACCAATATATCTATAGATTGAGTGTTCGAATTGAATCAACATGTGACTGGAAATAACCATCATCTCTTAATCATAAAAAAAGGATTGTGCAATCTCAGGGGTTAGAGAGAGGGTGCTTTCACTTCTGTTTGGCGGTGTGAACATTGGTCTGAAGTGAGATGGTGAAACCACAAACCACAGGGAAGTTCAGACCATGCAGATAGTGCAACATTCTATTTTGAACCCTTGCTTGAGATTTGTAGATAGACTTTTAATTTCTAGCAGGCAAAGATCAAAGAAGTGTTTACATGCAATACTAATAAAATATCTAGTAAGGGCATCTATATGTCCTTGCAGACTGTCGTGGGTAAGACCAGACCAGAATCTTTGAACATAGATCCAATATTCGCTGTGATCTTAAAGTCCAGTCGCAGACTGTTTACAATTCAGAAAACGTTGGTCTCGGCAGTGACTTCAGTAGCTTCAGGAAGAGAATAGTCAGAGAAATGTCATGGCAGAGGTGGTTGAAGGAGAGGATGAGCGATAATGAGCAATGTGCCGACAACATTTCAAATGCACATTTCAAATGGTTTTTATCTTAATTAGTAATTCCCACAACAGGTACAGTGATGTCATATGTATATTTATTAAGATAAATATATATTCATATTGAGCACAGAAGCAGTGTACACAACCTCTCCTTGTTGTATGCTCCTCTCTTGTACCTTCTCTTGTTCATATATAGCATTAATGGGCTGTCGTCCGACATTATCATCGCTCTCAGGTAACTAGAAACACCTCTTCATAGACGTAAAAGCCCTTTTTCTTCAACCTTTGGGATTAGGGCTATTTCCAGTAACATGACACAGTTCTAACACTCTGCAAATAGGCCACCAAAATTATCAGTTTTTTGGCCCAAATCCTGGTTGGGAGATAAGTTTAATTTCCATCAATTCAAGATGTCTGCCATTACGAACTGAAAAGGCTTATTCTCCCTTGTACTCCTACACACTGAAAGCATCTAATCAAATTTAATCACTTTATTAAAATTTTTTGAACATTTGAATCTAAAAAGTAGCTCAACACTCAAAATAAGGGTTCACTATCACTCTGTGCAGTGTGGAAAGGAAGCATGAAATGTAATCTGTTTTGTATTACACGTTTCTTTGTAGATTATGTTGATCATGCATTTTATAACCCCTAACAACGCTTCACATGACATTTTTCATTACTTCATGGACAGTGGGCAGGCAGGCTTTTCTCTCAACGCTGAATAGTGGGGTCGCTGGTCTCCCCTTCTACCTCCCTCCCTCCACTGCTCTGTCCTGAATGTGTAGAAAATGTGTATTATCTGATTCCTTTGGGAAATACTTGAAAGGAAGTATGGAAATTTTGAATTGGATGTTTCACAATTCATTTTTTTTCTTTGTTAACACCTGGGAGAGGAGACAATGGATACTGTATCCCGTATGAGATGTTTACTGTAAATAGTTTTATCATGTTTGTATGTTCTGTCGTCATCACATGTTGTTGTTTCAGTGTCATACGATTCAAACTCCAGCTACTGTAGCTCCCACGCAGCAGGTTGGAGATCCCTGCTGTATGGACTTCAGCCTAACAAAGGGGAAACCAAACTGGGCCGAGGATGGAGCCCTGAGGAGAAATTTTGACATTTTGACAGGACTGACCTGAGGAGTGAGTCCAGACGAGGGTCACACTGAGGCAGAGCAGCAGAGCGATCAGGAGAAAGCAGACCACCACATATCGCACATTCATATCTGAAACAACAAATATAACACATTTACCTGAAGATAATGTCACCGAAATATTAAGCCCACCCGTAGTCATGAACCTAAAATACTCAATTTGGGATTTCATTTTTTTAACAGTGAAATAACTGTCAATGGGAAAGTGAGGATGAGTAACACTACAATCTATTGGTAGAAGTGGGAAATCAAATTCTGCTTGTACAGTGCCTTGCGAAAGTATTCGGCCCCCTTGAACCTTTTCAACATTGCGCCACATTTCAAGCTTCAAACATAAAAAAATTCACATTTGTCAAGAATCAACAAGTGGGACACAATCGTGAAGTGGAACGAAATGTATTGGATAATTTAAACTTTTTTAACAAATAAAAAACTGAAAAGTGGGGCGTGCAATATTATTCGGCCCCCTTGCGCTAATACTTTGTAGCGCCACCTTTTGCTGCAATTACAGCTGCAAGTCGCTTGGGGTATGTCTCTATCAGTTTTGCACATCGAGAGAGCTCTTCCCACAGATTCTCGATTGGATTCAGGTCTGGACTTAGACTTGGCCATTCTAACACCTGGATACGTCTATTTGTGAACCATTCCATTGTAGATTTGGCTTTATGTTTTGGATCATTGTCCTGTTGGAAGATAAATCTCCGTCCCAGTCTCAGGTCTTTTGCAGACTCCAACAGGTTTTCTTCCAGAATGGTCCTGTATTTGGCTCCATCCATCTTCCCATCAATTTTAGCCATCTTTCCTGTCCCTGCTGAAGAAAAGCAGGCCCAAACCATGATGCTGCCACCACCATGTTTGACAGTGGGGATGGTGTGTTCAGGGTGATGAGCTGTGTTGCTTTTACGCCAAACATATCGTTTTGCATTGTGGCCAAAAAGTTCGATTTTGGTTTCATCTGACCAGAGCACCTTCTTCCACATGTTTGGTGTGTCTCCCAGGTGGCTTGTGGCAAACTTTAAACAAGACTTTTTATGGATATCTTTGAGAAATGGCTTTCTTCTTGCAACTCTTCCATAAAGGCCAGATTTGTGCAGTGCACGACTGATTGTTGTCCTATGGACAGACTCTCCCACCTCAGCTGTAGTTATCTGCAGTTCATCCAGAGTGATCATGGGCCTCTTGTCTGCATCTCTGATCAGTCTTCTCCTTGTTTGAGATGAAAGTTTGGAGGGACGGCCGGGTCTTGGTAGATTTGCAGTGGTCTGATACTCCTTCCATTTCAATATAATTGCTTGCACAGTGCTCCTTGAGATGTTTAAAGCTTGGGAAATCTTTTTGTATCCAAATCCGGCTTTAAACTTCTCCACAACAGTATCTCGGACCTGCCTGGTGTGTTCCTTTGTCTTCATGGTTCTCTCTGCGCTTTAAACAGAACCCTGAGACTATCAAAGAGCAGGTGCATTTATACGGAGACTTGATTACACACAGGTGCATTCTATTTATCATCATCAGTCATTTAGGACAACATTGGATCATTCAAAGATCCTCACTGAACTTCTGGACTGAGTTTGCTGCACTGAAAGTAAAGGGGCCGAATAATATTGCACGCCCCACTTTTCAGTTTTTTATTTGTTAATTTTTTTTAAATTATCCAATACATTTTGTTCCACTTCACGATTGTGTCCCACTTGTTGTTGATTCATGACAAAAAAATTAAATTTTATATCTTTATGTTTGAAGCCTGAAATGTGGCGAAATGTTGAAAGGAATACTTTCGCAAGGCACTGTAAAAATCATACATTACATGCGATTGAAATTAAGGCCCGCAGCAGTAAAGAACGTTAATTTAAAGGGTTGAAATGAGGCGCCAGTAAAAGAGGATCCTCCAGAAAACAAATACATTTCAAGAACAGGCTTAGAAATGTTGGTAAAAATGCAAAATGAAAACAGAATACTATTGCCTGTATGGAGCTACACTATACCCTGTCTTCTGTCGGGTCTCCTCGGTGTTGTCTCTTGGGTTTGTCCCTCGGATGTCCCTCCTTGATTAGTCTGTGTGGGTGTAACGTCCAGGTCTGCCTCAAGGTGACACAAAGACAGCTCTCTAATATTTTTTTTTTACTTTTTTTAACTGAAACTAATGCAGGGATGCCGTTTAGGTTTGACCACTTTGTCACAAACTATTTCAGTGACAACACTTTAGGTCAAAAGGCAGAACACAGCTATGTCCATGATGTGTTCATGTCCTTTATACGTCCCTCACGTATAAAGGAGAAATTTCAACTTTGGATGCAACACTGAAATTTCTCCTTTATACGTCCCTCATGTATAAAGGAGAAATTTCAGCCCTAAATCACAACAGTAGTTACAGTATCTCAGAGGACTTTGTCGATTCGCCCAACACAGATCAGAGAATCAAGAAATGCGACAAAAAACACAAAGAGCCACTGGTCCATAAGGGGCAGATGACCAATGTTCAAAACAAGTTTGGAAAAAGAGCATTCAGACAGAAGAGGTGAGGGTGTTTGGTGTTTGGGTAGTTCCAGATTTTAGTAAGGATGGAGCTAAAAACAACTAGAGGTCTGTGAGTGATGAGGAAATGTGTGGGGACATGATTGAACTTCTCACCAAAGTGTGTGGTGTCATCGGTGAACAGGCCCGAAGGTTCTGTGGAAACATGGAGAAAAACTCATGACTTTTGAGATTTTTTTCACATCACTTAATGTGGGGGAGTTAACTTCCTTTTGCACACATTTAAAAAGACACATTTAAAGTTCCCCTATGGTTTCGTCACACATGCATTCATGGCCGAGTCACGTATTTAAATCTGCTTTTTCAGGCAGAAAAGTATAAAAAATAAAGGGCCATCTTGACTCAACCACTAAATTTTCTACCCAAGGCGTAAAATAGTCTTGATCACCATCACCAACATTTGCCATTTCTCTTTCTGACCATTTACTTTTGTTTCTCAGATAATGAAAGTTTTTTGTTTTGCCAGTATGGAAGTAAAAAAAAAAAACCTGACCATTATTGAGAAATGTTTCTTTTCTAGGTTTTACGTTTGTTGCAACCCGTAACAAATATATCGGAAATTACTGGAATGCTGCTCACAAGAGTCTTTTGGCTAGGGAAACGGGAACACCTGAAGGATATCATCTCAGACACAGGGAGAACATGCAACATGTGGAACCGAACCTAGGACCTTTCTGTGAAGTAGGTCATTACTAACCACTGCGCCACTGTCCCTTCTCTCACCTGGGGTCTTTTGGATGAGGCTAAAGACATGGATCTCTTCTCCCTGCACCACTTCACATTCGAGCTGATTCTTATCTCGATAAAGGGGATGGTCTCTCGGGACCCAGAGCGCAGTATTCTTCCTGTGGCTGTTGATCATCAGCTTTGGATCGCTTTGGTTCAGTTCTCTTCCTTGGTGCAACCATCTCATGCTGACAACAATACTAGAGCTGACGGCCTCACACCGGAACTTAGAACCCAGCGGTTTCACTTCGTCCGTAACTGCAAAACAACATCCCTCATAGTAACTCCAATCAGCGACAGAACCAGAAGCTGTCAGGCTGTACGATGAACACAATACATTTCCCTGAATGCTTTTATGTCCAGATTTAAAGCACTTGAGACATCCTCATTGAAGTGTAACTATTTTTATAATGTGTGTGCAACTTTTGCTGCCTCTTTTCTAGGACTCCCTAGAAAAATAGTTTTGTAACCTCAATGGGACTTTTCTTGTTAAATAAATGTGAAATTTAAAAAAAGGCAGGTTCAGAAATGTGTCATGACCAGTGGGGGCTCTAAAGGGTCCATGAACATGTGCGCTGACATGCCTGTATTCTGACTATTTGCCGGTGGTGTTGTACCCGGAAACAGACTGTGGACTTTTAAATACGTCCTTTTTTATATATTTTCCACCGTTTCGAAATTGTACATGTTGGTCACACATACATCTCAACAAAATAGGCATCACTACATCTGTTAATATTCCATCCATCCATCCATTTTCTTCCGCTTTATCCGTTGCCGGGTCGCGGGGGCAGCAGTCTAAGCAGAGACGCCCAGACTTCCCTATCCACACACACCTCCTCAAGCTCGTCCGGGGGGACCCCTAGGCGTTCCCAGGCCAGCTGAGAGACATAGTCTCTCCAGCGTGTCCTGGGTCTTCCCCGGGGCCTCCTCCCGGTGGGACGTGCCCGGAACACCTCCCCAGGAAGGCGTCCAGGAGGCATCCTGAACAGATGCCCGAGCCACCTCAACTGGTTCCTCTCGACGTGGAGAAGCAGCGGCTCTACTCCGAGCTCCTCCCGTGTGACCGAGCTCCTCACCCTATCTCTAAGGGAGCGCCCAGCCACTCTGCGGAGGAAGCTCATTTCGACCGCTTGTATCCGCGATCTCGTTCTTTCGGTCATTACCCACAGCTCATGACCATAGGTGAGGGAGGGAACGAAGATTGACCGGTAAATTGAGAGCTTTGCCTTTCGGCTCAGCTCCCTCTTTACCACAACGGTCCGATACAGAGACCGCATCACTGCGCACGCTGCACCGATCCGCCTGTCAATCTCACGCTCCATCCTCCCCTCACTCGTGAACAAGACCCCGAGATACTTGAACTCCTCCACTTGAGGAAGGACCTCTCCACCCACCTGGAGAGGGCAAGGCACCTTTTTCCGGTCGAGCACCATGGCCTCGGATTTGGAGGTGCTGATTCTCATCCCAGCCGCTTCACACTCGGCTGCAAACCGTCCCAGTGCATGTTGCAGGTCCTGGTTCGTTGGAGCCAGCAGGACGACATCATCCGCAAAAAGTAGAGATGAAATCCTGTGGTTCCCGAACCGGACCCCCTCCGGCCCCTGGCTGCGCCTAGAGATTCTGTCCATAAATACAGTGAACAGAACCGGTGACAAAGGGCAGCCTTGGCGGAGGCCAACATGCACCGGGAACAGGTCTGACTTACTGCCAGCAATGCGAACACAGCTCTGGCTCCGGTCATACAGGGACCGAACAGCCCTCAGCAGAGGACCCCGGACCCCGTTTTCCCGGAGGACCCCCCAAAGGACACCCCGGGGAACGCGGTCGAACGCCTTCTCCAAATCCACAAAGCACATGTGGACAGGTTGGGCGAACTCCCATGAACCCTCGAGTATCCGATGGAGAGTATAGAGCTGGTCCAGTGTTCCGCGACCGGGACGAAAACCACACTGCTCCTCCTGAATCCGAGATTCGACCATCGGACGAAGCCTCCTCTCCAGTACCTTGGAGTAGACCTTACCGGGGAGGCTGAGGAGTGTGATCCCACGATAATTGGAACACACCCTCCGGTCCCCCTTCTTGTAGAGAGGGACCACCACCCCGGTCTGCCACTCCATTGGCACCGCCCCCGATCGCCACGCGATGTTGCAGAGACGTGTCAGCCAAGACAGTCCTACAACATCCAGAGACTTTAGATAGTCAGGACGGATCTCATCCACTCCCGGCGCCTTGCCACCATGGAGGCTGCCAACCACCTTGGTGACCTCGGCCAGGGAGATGGAAGTATCCGCCCCAACATCCTCAGCCTCTGCCTCCTGGACGGGGGACGTGACGGGGGGATTGAGGAGAACCTCGAAGTATTCCTTCCACCGCCCGACAATATCCCCAGTCGAGGTCAGCAGCCCTCCACCCGCACCATACACGGTGTTGGCAAAGAACTGCTTCCCCCTCCTGAGGCGCCGGACGGTTTGCCAGAACCTCTTCGAGGCCGACCGATAGTCATGCTCCATGGACTCTCCGAACTCCTCCCAGTCCCGGGTTTTTGCCTCTGCAACAGCCCGGGCCGCGGCACGTTTGGCCTGCCGGTACTGGACAGCTGCCTCAGGAGTCCCACGAACCATCATTGCTCGATAGGACTCCTTCTTCAGCCTGACGGCATCCCTTACTGCCGGTGTCCACCACCGGGTTCGGGGATTGCCGCCGGGACCAGCACCAGAGACCTTGCGACCACAGCTACGAGCCGCCGCATTGGCGATAGAGGAAGAGAACATGGTCCACTCGGACTCGATGTCCCCCTCCTCTGCCGGGACCTGGGAGAAGCTCTCCCGGAGGTGTGAGTTGAAAGTCCGTCTGACAGGGGGCTCAGCGAGACGTTCCCAGCAAACCCTCACTACACGCTTGGGCCTGCCAGGTCTGACCGGCCTCCTGCCCTGCCAGCGGATCCAACTCACGACCAGGTGATGATCGGTTGACAGCTCCGCCCCTCTCTTCACCCGAGTGTCCGAGACACGCGGTCGAAGGTCGACTACAAAGTCGATCATCGACCTCCGGCCTAGGGTGTCCTGGTGCCACGTGCACTGATGGACACCCTTGTGCTCGAACATGGTGTTCGTGATGGACAGGCCGTGACTGGCACAGAAGTCCAACAACTGAACACCGCTCGGGTTCAGATCAGGGGGGCCGCTCTTCCCGATCACCCCTCTCCAAGTGTCACTGGCATTTCCCACATGGGCGAATATTTAATATTTACAGTCTATAGTGGAGACTCAGTTCAAACCTCAAACCCTCAAGAAAAATTTGACCTCTATGACGCCTGAGTAAGTAAGTAAGTAAGTAAGGTTTATCTATGTAGCGCATTTTAAAGACCAATGTTTTTTGTTTTTGGTTCTTTTGAAAGACAAGTTTTATGTATTACCTTGTTGTTTTAAATGGTTGTTGATTTTTGTCTGCTCTGTAGACTCTAGCGTGAAGTTTCTACTAAAATCTTTTTTGTAGCAGTTGTTCGATATGACTCTAATCCTTTCTCTTAATAGTGCTTTCTTGGCCTTGTTGATTATTTGTTGCGCATTGTGGGTTGGGATTGGTGATTTGATGTTAAGGCTGGCTGGAGTAATAATTTCATCCTTGCATCGGGGGTTGAAGTGTCGGGGTTTTTTAAGCGGGCTCGTGTTTCCTCGAGCCTCTCCAAGTGGCGCAGAGCTTTGACACTTTTTTGTCCAAATCTTCCTCGTAATGAGTCAAAAGATTCATTTTGTCTTGAGTTAAAATGCTTTTTGTTTTTGGTTCTTTTGAAAGACAAGTTTAGATGTATTGCCTCGTTTTACAGACCAAGGTCACCCAAAGCACTTTACAATTATTGAAGTCTGAGAGACTCACCCGTGACCACAGACACAGGCAGAGAACTGATGTGCGGTGGGTTGGACTGCCCACAGTGGTAGACCCCGGCCTCTACAGGGAGAACGTGCTGGATCTTCAGACCACAGTCCTCAGTGAGAGTATGAAAAGCTCCAACTCAAAGTCATTTTTAGCTGGAACAAACTGCCAGGAGGTCCTAGTGCACAGCGGCTGCGGCAGTTGGACTCCACCACAAGGTAACGTTACATCTGCTCCTTCTCTCACAATCTTATCACAATCTGCGGACACACACACACACATTCACTCAGCACAAAAACATAATAAAAGAACGTTCAAAGTAAGTGAAAGACGTGTGACCAGAGCAGAGCAGGAGAGACAGCAGCAGAACACCACCATACGCAGCCATTGAGACAGTCAGAGGATTGAGACACATCTTCCTTCCTTCTCATTCATAAACACAGCTGAATGTGTGAAGTAGGCACATCCTGTTTTCTCCGTAGCCATAGTTACCACTTCTCCTTTCACTGTATTTTTCACAGCCTGGAATCACGGCAGCAATTGCCTCGAGAGCTGTGACAGAATTGAGGATTTGCCAACAGCAGATTAGAAAATAAAGCCACTACAACACAACAACAAGACATACAACAAAAACACATAAGATACATTGTTCCGTGGGATCATGGTTTTAACTTATTACTATAAATGTCCTGGACCGGCCCCTGTCCTGGAAGCCTCCTCTATCAACTCAAAAGAAAAGTTTTATATCACTCACAAAATGAGACTGTTCACCCATCTTGGAACCCTCCACTCCCACGATTTGAAGTTTAGGTAACCCAGCATTTGGTCTGGGGTGCCCAAACCTTTGCATCCCACTGTGCCGCTGTATGTAAGCCCAACATGTTTTTTCTTGTATACTGTTTAAACTGCTATGCCACAAAAAACAAACAAATAATCATAATTTAAAAATAGTAGAAATTTGGTTCTGGCAGAAGCAATTAATAGGAAGGAGTAAGAAAATGAGATAATTCCCAATGTGTCTAACCTGTAGATCTAATCACGCCCTCACCGTTTAATAAATGGAGATCGGACCAGAGAGGCTCCCGGGTCGAGAGATCATCAGAATATTACATTAAAATGCGGCATATTAAAACCCAGCACTGATTATAAAAGCACAAATCTTCATTTTATAAATTTAAGACGCCCCATTATCCTTTATCACTAGTTTCCCCGTCCTCCAAGTGTTGGTTTCTCCTCAGACCAGCGCTTCTTGACCGTCTTTACCTCTAAGCCCAGTTTCTGTGGTTCAAAGTTTACCATTAGATATTATCCATATTTAGTTGACCTCACTCTCAGTTTTCCCTCTGTTCAATCATAAACCAATAATCAAGACAAGAGTAAACGTGTAACTAAAACAACAGGTCAATATGGGATCATGGCTTTTACTAAACATGTACAAGATTTTGACACGTGATGGTACCGCAGATTCTCCAGAGACCACAAGGCGGAGAATCTGGAGAATCTGTGTCTCCGCAGTGAATCCCAAGTGTGAGTCAAGGTGAAAGCCCCCTCGTCTCTGTTGATGGTCCGAGCGCCCCGCTTCCTGATTTCAATCTCCCCTCGTATCCATCTTTTGCATTCATGTTCTTCAGTTCCTACTATTTTTTCATTTTCCCAGTCGATTATGAGATTATCCTTTTTACATTGGTCTGATATTGCTGATTTGAGGTTTTTCCCATGTATGTTTAATTGCAGCAACACCAGCAGATAAGAGACGAATCACACCGTCACGTGTCACCTCTGACGAATGCAAAAGTCTACTGCGGAAACATGTCAGGTGATCAAGTGAGTAAGTAACATTTATTTATATACCGCCTTTCACAGACCAGAGTCACAAAGCGGTTTATAATTGTTATTTTTTGGGCATTTGGGAATCAAGCAGTACTAGCGTTCTTTACTTTTTATGTTTTATTAAAATAACCTTCTAAGCCTTTATTCAGAATGATGAACTGTTCATTGTAAGATGGAATTAAAAAGATAAACATACACACTTGGTCCGTCCACTCCTACAGTCTGTGGTTTATTCTTGGGAACCGTCAATCATCTACAATTGACTCATCGGATTTTCTTAATTTTAAGGTTATTTTAAGTAGTTTCATATGATCCTGTACCGCAATATTTTTCAGTAGCCATCAATCCTTGGAAAATGTGTTTTCCTGTAACTTCATAACCTTCAGCGAGATAATAGGGCAAGATATTGCGTGTCAAGGCAAACATTTAGGTCAATTCATACTCATTTTTTGAACTAAATTGGATATTTCACCTGCCCTGGCATAAATCACGCCGTAGTCTTACACAGCGCACGCCACTAAACGATCTCACTTTTACAATAGGTCCTCCCTTTCCGATAACATTAGCTCCACACGCCTAAATTCATTTTGATGGACTCCTCAAAAGGTCATGATTGAGCCTGTAATGAGGCGCTGCTATCTTTCCTCTTGTGCCACCTCAGCACAGGCGCCGTTAAAAGCATCCGATTAAACACAATAAAGAGGTACTCCATTGTTGCGTGTGCGTGTGTGCTTGCATGAAACTTATAACTCATTTTTATCTTTGACAAGCAGACCCTGACCTCCTAGCTCAGAAAAGTGTACAGAAACAGGGTTAAGTGTGTTCTATGGGGAATCCTCTGTGTCCGTGTGTGTCTAGCTATGCATCACCGAGACTGTAATTAAGTGTCACATATGAGGTTAATATAGTAAAAAAAATGGCTTGGGGCTAAAGCATAATGTCTGATCCTATAACATTGATAGCGTTTAGTTGTCAGCGTTAAAGAAAAAAAGGGGAAGGGAGGACTCATAAACAGATCAGATGGTAAAATGGGTGAAAGAGACAGATACTGGGAAGGGAATTACCTATGTGGTGTGTTTACTATGACGAGCAGCTGGAGACGTGACCTAAATGAGATCAAAGCTTCATTATTCGACTGTTCGGTGCTGCCTGCTCTATAGAAAGAACAAGAGAACGGGAGCGATGCATATTTTGTACAGTAAATCCGAAGAGAGATTGGGAACTGTTGGAGGCAGTGTGTCAGCTCTGTGTCTCTGTGTACAAGGCAATAAGTGATGAATCGAAAAATTGCTCAAATTTGGGAAAACGTATCTTACTTTTAGCACATTTTGACTGCCTTTAAAACAACGGGACAAAGCTAAATGATCTTGTTTTAAAAGATACAAGAAATGTCGCCCCTGGAATGAGAAAATGAAGTGATAACAGTTCTTGCGCTTGCCTCTAATAGATAGAAAACACTATATCGTTGTGACCATTTATTCTCACTGTGCTCTTTAAAAACGGAAGTATCAAGGAGGTAAAAACAGTCAAACAATGAGGATGTAGCCAGACTAACAGAAAGATAGAGAGACTAACAAGAGGCCGTACCTGTTAATCCTGAATATTCTATTTCTTATAAAATGAATCTAAGTTTAATTTTTTTACTCATTTAAAAAATCTCACTTCTAAATGGGGTAGGATTTTATAAGATTTGTTTTGTCCATCCTTCTCCTGTTCTTGTATCGCTGTTGTATTTGCTGGATTATTGTTATATTTTGTTGCATTACCAAGAAAAAAAAAAAAAGACAAGCATTTACGAAAACATGTGATTACGGACCGTGATTCAACCCAGTTTCCGACAATATTCTGATTCCAGTTTGAAAAGTCCACAATGAATAAGTTGTTTTCTGCGTCTGGTTCAACGACACATTCCAGATGAAGACGGAGATTTGATCAGTGTCGCTGCATTGTCCGCTGCGCCTCTATCTGCAAACTCCGAGAGGCTTCTGTCCACGGCCATGTCTGCGCGTCCAGATAACATCTCAGATCAGATTATTGTCCTCAACTTCCTCTAATTGATTTTCGTTCATTCTGTCCATTTCTACTCCTCCTGTGCGTCCAAAATAACAACTGACACACAACAGTCGCAAAAACCTGTGTGTACTTTTGACAAGCTGAGGAAATCGGATTGTCGATAATTTTAGTCTGGTACTGACGTTTATGGCCATACCTGATAGTGCAAGCCAGACTTATGAAGCTAAGCAGGGCAGGGCCTGGTTAGTACTGTGATGGGAGACCTGTGGGAACACCAAGTGCCACAGTGGGCCGGCTGCGGCTGTGAAGTGCCAAACTCTCATTGTGTCTGTAGGCAACACTTCACCCACATTAGAATGAGTCTTGTGTGTGTGTGTGTGTGTGTGTGTGTGTGTGTGTGTGTGTGTGTGTGTGTGAATGGTTGGTGGTGGTCAGACGGGTCAGTGTGCCCCAGAACAGCTCTGGCTACAGTAATAGTTAATCACCACCGTGTGTGGAGTGAATGAATAAATGACATGTGAAGCATCCAAAAAAAGCGATAAAAGTAAATGGTCCTTTATTTGCAGTGATGGGAATAACGGCGTTACTAGTAACGGCGTTACTAGTAACGGCGTTACTAACGCCGTTACTTTTTTCAGTAACGAGTAATCTAACTAATTACTTTGACAGTAACTATAACGCCGTTATCATTTCCGACATCCCGTTACTGCGCGTTACTCAAGACGCACAATGAACGTGTTGTCATGAGAGAAGGGAGGATGAGAAAACCTCTCAGCAATTATTGGCTGATGTAAATCATCATATTTCCTTTTACAATCTACATGTCTACAGTTGAGAGGATGGTCATAAATTGTGTTTTTGAAACAAATATGGGTCTTAATC